CAACAGTCTGGCTCTGTGAACGTATAGCTAAAGGCTCTAAAAAATTAATGGGTGGGAGAGGGAGTAGTTGGGAACGAAAGAACATTAAAGATTTCCCATTCGTTCCTTTCTCTTGCTCTCAATTTTGTTCTTTTTGCTTCATATCTTCATGTTTCTCCCGCTTCTCACTCGTGACTGGAAGGAAACGGGACAGACCGCTGCCCTCGCTACAACGTCTCGGAAAAGCTTTCAAAAAATGTAATTGTTTTATTATTATTTTTTTTTTTGAAGTCATGCTATCGAGTCATACACAGCCATACCTTATCAGAAGAGAGGTCCACGCCCTCCTAACCCCAATATGCGGCCAGCGTACCAGGGCAGTAACCCTGTAAGTGATGTTTGGTCCAAACACGCTCTCGGTATTGTTGCTAAGTACTTGAAAAGGTAAGATATAGGGAGCTTCAGCACAAACGTTTTTTGAATGCGGACGGCTGCCAGAAGTTTAAAGTTTTCGCACCCGATGCTCATTACACCTTTCGGTCGGCACAATTTGGTTTAAAATGCTAAAACGAGGAACTTGCGGTCGATAAAGTGGTAGTAAAACGCGCTAGGGTTAGTTCAATACTTCCAGTTGCCGTCCGCGTCTCAAAAACAATGGTCTCTGCTTGAGTTCTAATAGAAGCTTATACCCGCGTTTATGTCGTGGAAAGAATTGGAAACCAGAGAATCGGCCTACTCTCCCTCCAGTCCACACAAGCCACTGCAAAAGATGAATTAACTGGAGCCAAAACAGAAAAAAAGAACCGCTTGGCTGTTTTCTTCGTGAAAACTGACAGTCCAAAACGAAAAATATCGAAATAACCAGAAACAGAACCTATCGCCCTCCGTCTCTAATAGTTTGCTCAAAATTGTCCAGAGTATCCTTGACTTTGTGATGTTAATACGCCCTGGATTGACTTATTGCACCGCGCGTGACAAAGGTTTCTCTCTCCTTTTCTCCTTCCCCAATCCTTCCCCTTGCTTTGTCACTCGTCCCAGATCTTCCACCCGTCTAATATGGCTACCAAATATTCGCTGCGCTGAGTCTCGCGCTTGAAAACACAAACTGCCGTCTGCTTAGCGGGCTATTGTTGTAACTGCTGTGGTTTAATTTAAAGGCTTACCTTAGAACAGTGGACACTCGGCTGAAATTGGTTTTAAGTCAACTATTTTTTTTTCCTAACAGGTCAATTAAGGACGCGAGTGACCTCGAAGCTCGCTCCAATATGCACCTAGCAAGTGTTTACGCAGGAGTGGGATTTGGAAATGCCGGTGTTCATCTTTGGTAATAGTTAAGTTTCTTTTCACGAGGATCATTCGTAAAAATGGGCTACCTTTACTGGACCAAAATTCCTTCAATTTCAAAAGTGATACCAATCGAGATTTAGTCACACGTGTCTTCCTCGCACTTCAGGCGGTTTTCTCGTTTACTTTGTGTTGTCATTGGCATTAGTCTCTATCAAACGTTTGTTGTATTTCGCTGCACGGTGATATCCGCTACTTCCCATGTCCACTTCGATTAATCATTGCCAATGTTCTTTAGTCGCTGATTACATTCAGCTCACTGATTTAGAAGAGCAAAATTAATTAAGGCTTTTTACCCTTTGTGCAGTCATGGAATGTCATATCCCATCTCCGGCCTCGTAAAGTCCTACAAAGCCAAAGACTACGAGGTCGACCATCCCCTTGTGGTAAGTAAAAAAAGTTACTTAGTTGCAAACACAACGCGCCGTTTCGCTATGGTACAACTAAACTGCGAAATTCCATTTCCAAGGCTTTGATCATCAGGTTAAGATTTTCAAAATACTCTTCCCAAATCTGCATTTAAAGGGTGGATATTTTAGAGGGAAATAACACATTTATTGCTGTTTGCATTATGTTTTTATTCCTTAGCCGCATGGTTTGTCCGTAATAATGACGTCACCAGCAGTGTTCCGCTTCACTGCACCCCCTTGCCCCGAAAGACATTTGGAGGCTGCGCAGATTCTCGGTAAGCTTTATTATGTCATACGGTAAGTGCTCTTACATGAAAACGTCAATATCGAAACAACTGCACACCCACCCCTCCCATAATCCATCAACAGTCACCTGACAGCAATAGTCCATTTTACAGTTGTGTGCTTGGTTGCCAAGCCACCTGTCACCTGACAGCAATAGTCCATTTTTGCAGTTGTGTGCTTGGTTGCCAAGCCTTTAAATGGGAGTGAGGCTAGGGTTTACCTTGTTATGATACAAACCTCAATTGGTAGAGCGCTGCACTAGTATCGCAGAGGGCAGTGGTTCGAATCCCGTACCGGCCTGATCTTTTTCAGGTCTGATTTTCGCTATTGCATAAATAGCGCTCTCTACTGCGAGGATCGTGCATCATACGTAGATACAAACCTTGCTGCCTTTCAATTGTAAATCACATTGTTATCATGCTAAGTAGATACAGGTCTCTATCACAATAAGGTGACCTTCAGCCTCACTCTGAATCAAAGGCTTGGCAACCAAGTACACAACTGTAAAATGGCCTATTCAGGGTTAAGGTTAAGGTAGGGTTAGTGGAGGGGTGGGTGCGCAGTTGCTCAGATACTAACTTTGATTCTGATACAGCAAGCTGCATCAGCGTAACGTGTGATAGGCTGAAAACATGGCTGCATCCGTGCTCCACCCCTGACGTGTTTCCACGGGGCGAAAGGTATTTCACTCCCCCC